AAAATCAAAAAATAACCCGTTTAATGTACAATTTAAACAACTTTAGATTTCAGAAAAAGTGCTTCACTTATACGTCGCAGCAAGCTTACTAGGAAAAAACGCGTCCACAGACTAAAACAAAGAAAGAAAGAAGAACAGCATCGCAAAACCAGTAGCACCCTCCCTACGCTCGAAATCTAAAAAACGAAGGAAACCGTTGTCTACCTTGATATTGGATCGGGTCACCGCATGCCACATGCTTAGGCCACTCGTTTTTATTTTATTCGCTTATAATTTTCTATACCATATAATATCACAGAATAGGATAGTATGGTATTTCGGTGACAGGGTTAATGTTGTATTCGTCCACATTAATTTGTTTACTGGGCGATATCAGATATTACTCACAAAAACATAGACACATAGCATACAACGAGTAAATGTACTATTAAATTACTAATACTAGTTTGTCATGTTCTTTCGTGTTCTCGACTTTGAAATTCAAAATATTTATTTACTATATTGGAAAACGTGTGGTGTGCTTTTATGGTGGGAATTTTTGATTTTTTTTTTTTTTTGTAATAACCACACTATCACAAACAGATTAAATCGAATATCAATAGGAAATAGTTTTACTATGTAGAGCGTCTTCGCCCGGTCGAGGCGTACATATTTTTTAATCATAAAATTATACGCGCAGTCGTAAATGCAATTGCATTTTGTACGCTTAAAGCTGCGAATTCAATAATAACAAATAAGTAAGCAACGTAAATCTCCTCTAAGGTAAACGCTCGATAAAACGGAAATTTCAATGGTCCCGAAATTGAATTTCACGCGTATTTAAACTTCTGTAAAACGGAAACCAGCCGCGTTGAACGGAAATTATTGTCTCCAGTCCCTCAGTACAAAAGCAAACGGAAAGTTCAAAATAATAAAACAAAACAAAAATCGTACCCTCCCCTTGTTTTAGAGGGGTCAATGGCACATTTATACACCGGTCGTTGACGCTGCGATCTCCGCCGTCATACGATTAGGTATTAATGTTATCATGTTTTCTGATTGGCCCAAGGTCCGATCGAATCGATTTTACGCCAAAATCAATCGATTATAGTGTTTACATTATTAATTATTATTATATCCTTGCGTTCATCCGACACTAACTAACGGTACGCAGGTACAATCGGCAGTTCCGAGCGGAAAATTCGAAAAACGAACGGTTTAATACACCGATATTATAATAATGTAATACGCGTAGTACAGTAGCGAATACATTACAGGTCGTAGGCAGTGGCGTGCGCAAGGAGAGGATAAGGAGTAAGATATATACCCCCTATTGTTTTAAAAATACAAAAATTTACGAGAAATTTGTTATCGAAATGCGTTTTTTTTTTTAAGTTGCGTGGAAGAACTTGACGTATTGGTTAGACATTGTTAGTTACAGTTAGTACGGTTAATTTACTTAATTCCTATACAGATGTACAATACGAATTCAATACAATTTCCACAACTAAAACTTTTGGGTTCTGAGTATAGTGAAGAGTGCATTGGTTTTACAAATATGTTTATTTTTTTTTTAGTACTTTTCTATTATATGTCCCGCGTAATATAATGCAGAGACTGTAGTAATAGGTGTACTCGACGTTTTTTATTTTAAATTCGAGATTACCGTATTTTTNTTTTTCCCTGGGCGTATAATTTTCCGGGGCGTATTTTTCTAGAGGTTTCGTAAAACTCTGATCAATTTGAAAATGGAATTTAAAATATGTCATAAGCGCTTGAAATAATATTTTTAAAAAACGTATTTTTGTCACTAATCGTGGATTGCGAATAAAAATCACGTAATAACAATAATAATATGCTGTTTTATTTTTAACCGCAACAACATTGATTTTCTATATTGCGGACAGGCTGATGGCGTGGCGCGGGAAAACTCATCCGCCACTGTCGGCGGGTGTGTACACTGTCACAGATAGCTGAACGAAGGGGGAGCTGAGCTTCTGGCGACCGCGCAGTGACCGTCCGCCTTTATAATAGTAAAATATTTACTCAAATAAACGGGAAATTAAAATGTCATTGAAATTTATTGTGATAAAAATATACGCGGGGTCGCGCGTGTCCGTGGTCGCGTCGTGTTTCCGTTTCGAACGTTCCGAGTGAAAATCAACGCGTGACGCACATCCCATACAGGCGATAATAACAATAACTACACGTATGTTTATTTTCGCCTTAAAAACAGTTAGTACACGTTTTAAGTAGCAACGGCGTCCTACAATAACACGTAATTAATAAAAAATTTAAATAAAATTTAACTATCCAGTGTTTTCGGCCCAATCGGGTAACAATAATATAAGTTTCTGCCGATAACAGAATGCCATTTTAATTCTGACACCACAACGGTCGAAAGCCGTCCGCCAGCGCTCAGCGCATTAGCACTCGGGTTACGCAAAAACAAAATTAACGATAGGCGCCGGTGTACCTGCTCCTATGCACCGAACAATAAGGCCTATGGTCTATAGAGCATGGGTTGATTAAACGGCATGCAGTCCGCAGTTTACGTTGGGACAGTTCGCGAATAGTATTTTTTTACTGAAAGAGACCGGAATTGTAGGCGTGAATTTGTCAACGGATGGGCGCGAAATATTTTTCAAATTTTAGTTTCACTGTCCAATTTCGTGATAGCAATAAAGTATGGTTTGTGTTTTGTTTTCGTCAACGTAAAAATTGTGTAAACGGTTACTTAAAACTATATCTTACACATGGCAGCATTATTTTGGATACGATTCGTTGTTATGTAATTTTAAATTTAAAAATGCTGTCCTAGGATAACCGGGAAGGGTGCCGCCGCTGTTATAGATAATTTAATGTATACCTGTAAGCAACGATAAACCATTGCTAAAAAAAAAACGGTTCTGAGCACTGAACGGAGTTCAGTTGTTAGTGGTGCTTTGTCAAAAATGCACGACCATATTAAGGTAAAAAAATTAAATAGACATCATATATTTTCTTAAATGGTATTTGATTAATGTACCGATTTTCCCGTTTTTCCCATTTGTTGACAAAACTCCTGGGAAAATCAGAAAATATGGATTTCATATTTGATAAGATTACGAAAAGAGATCACAAAAATGGTTGATTTTAATTCTGTTATTGATAATTTTTCTGCGATCGAAACCAGAAATCTTAAGTATTAAATATTAAAATCACCCTTTTGTAATTTGGAAAATTTTGAATGTAGATATTTTCATACGTGGGTACATTTAAACCAAAATCATTAAATCTTATCTTACAATTTTCTGTTTTTAGTTATATTTTTATTTTTAAAAAAAAAAAGTGTAAAAAAAGGTCGTAAGCCATCGATTTAAGTGCACTCGATTATTTTCAATTCGTGTATACCGTATTTTTTACGCGCGCTAAAAATAAACCCATATCTATTAGCTAGGAATCCTACATTATAATTTCATAGGTTCTCTACTACCGACTTTTACGAATATTTTCGTTTAATGAAGAAAAAAACGTTTCCTCCGTGTCGCCCAATGTAATACCACTTTATTATCGGTATTATCTATTAATAATGGTTTTGTCGCAAATCGCTGTCGAGTAAACGTATTTGAAGTTACGAATGTTTGATGGTAAATATCGAACAGCCCGCAAAAAATGTTCACAATATTGAATTTTAAATTTTTCACGAGGTTCGTCATATTACGTTGTATTTCACGATAAAAAGAAATAGGTCGAGCTTATTAGGTACAGCAATTTTGTTTACAAAAAAAATGTTCAAATTATTGTTGCATACCTTCAACTATATTTATCTTATATATATATGAAGAAGTATATTTATAAGTATGCATCGTTGACGTGAAAGAACTCATGGATTTTGAGGTTGTGGATTTCCCGGATTAAAAAAAATAATCTATCATACGACAATATTTTCATGAAATAATAAATGACAAAATAAAAAAAATAAAACCTCTCATGTTTAACACTAAATAGTTTGAGAAATACCTCCTACGTAACATTGAAAATCTCCTGTTTGACGTTGAAAAAATTCCCATGTGATTTTGGTACAAAGTTTTAACTAACAAACCTTCTATGTGATGAAATATTGACAATTCATACAATATAATATTATCCGTAATTATTAGGTCTTTCGGTTAAATTGTTTTCTGAACAAATAGTTTTATGTTTAAAATGTATTTTGGTCAATCACTGACAAATTTGACTTTTTTAAAACGATTTATTGTATTTTCCATAAAGTCAGGTTTTGGCACATAATGGAGATTTTTATGTCAACGTCAAAATTATGTAGCAGCTACATTGTATAGCTTCATGAACCCTACTTATAAGTATTGTTTTAGTATTCATATCAATCAAAACATTTCCAAAAATCGACATACGAATACATGTTTTATTTCGATATTTAACAAAGGCATAAAAAGGTACCACAAAAATTAATCAAATAATAACATAGAGCAAAGGTATAAAAAAAATGTAACAAGCAATGTAAGCAAATACAAAAACAATAATAAAAAAAAAAAAAAAAACATAATATGGGTTCGCGGGATTTCGATATTCGTTTAACATTTGGCCAAATTGAACTTTGGTATCATAGGTATAAAAATAATGTAACAAAATGTATCAAAGTAATCTCAACTAAACACACAATAATTTATCGAAAAATAACTTATAAACGTTATTTCACAAATATTCACAGCTATAAGCATAAGATGGCAGAACAAAAGACTTCTTTTTTCGTATGTTGTTTGTCCGTGGCTCATCCATCATTTCCTGAAAATGAAAGTAGGTACGTTTGGTTATAATAATAACTTTTGTGAGAGAATTTCTATAGTATCACTAACACAAAACGGTTATTTATTTATTGATAAATTATTTTATTTTTGGCATATTATTACTTATTATTATTTGCTATATTGTTTAATCTGTGAATCGAATATTAATTCGATTAATTATTCTAGGAAATTGTTTAAGTATAAAATAATACATTACATTAATTTTTATTTTTTTTAACACACCTTGATTAGATGTGAATACTTATTCGGTAAATCTTGATTTAACTGTTTGAACGCGGATCTGGCGAAGTTTAAATATTGAGTATCGTCATTTTCTAAATGGTTTAATACCATCCTAGCACTCGGCTTCCATTGGTCCGGTAAATTGCTAAAAAAACACATATTATGTAATTTAACTTATAAGTGTAATTATTCATACTGAAGCTTTAGAAAACCACTTACAGTCTCATTCCTTGGACAATAAACCCTCCATAGAGTTTACCGACGATCTTTAATTCTGAATCGCATTTACGATTGTACCACCACACCTTCTGATCGTGCAAATGACAATATATACGCCCATACATTTGCTGCGAAATCACATTATAACATATATATATTATATTTTTCTCTATGATAAATTATTAAATATTGATAATAAATAAATAGTGGAAATAAAAATAATTGTAACAAGATGAAAAAAATAAATACATACAACGAATATCGATAGTATTATTACCTCTCCCATATTCAAGTCAAATAAAATAAATTGAAAATATTTTAAAACATTTTCAACGGGTTGGACCCTCCTTATTGTCAAATTGACCACGCGAATTATTGCCTCCATGCAGGATTCGTCTACATCAAATCAACAATAATTTATTAAGAGGCAGCTAGGTATTTGTCATGGTTTTATGCAGAAGATATGTACCGATCATTTGGGCGGCATTATCTCCGCAGAGACTCCCGGTTTGCATTTCACCCTTCCGGCCAGAGGCGAGGTCAGCCGTCGAAGAACTCGAAGATTGATCACAACCCAGATTATCGGAAAAATCCGTTGACTCGGGTTCTTCGTCATCCGAATCTACATCTAATCAACAATAATTTATTAGGAGGCGGGTGGGTATTCGTTAAAATGTTTATACAAAAGTCTATCCCAGAATATTTACGTACCGATAATTTGGGTGGAATCATCTCCTGTCTCCGAAAGCCAAACCTTTAGGGGATACGACGGTGAAATGAGGTCAGCCGTCGAACTTAAGCTTCGAACTAGTGTTCGTAATATTAGCCTTCTTAGGCAACTGAGTGGTTCTTCGCCATCCGAATCTGCATCTAATCAACAATAATTTATTAGGATGCGGGTGGGTATTCGTCAAAATTTTTATACCGAAGTCTATCTTAGAATATTTACGTACCGATAAATTGGGTGGGATTATCTCCTGTCTCCGAAGGCCAAACGTTTAAAGGATACGACGGTGAAATGAGGTAAGCCGTCGAAGAATTCGAAGCTTGATCACAAGCATTATAATCGGAAGAATCCGTTGACTCTGGTTCTTCGACGTGTGGTTCCTCATTTTTTCCTGTGTTGATTCTATTATTAAATTTAAAAAAAAAAAAAACGCATATTATACAATTTATCTGATAAGTTTAATTATTNTGTACTCTTATTATTGTCAAATCAACAATTTGCATGTTTCTCATGACTTCTTCTACATGAAATCAAAAATAATTTATTAGGAGTTAGAAGTGTATTTATCAGAGTTTTTATTCAGAAGTCGATCCTAGAATGTATATTTACCGAGTTCATTAGTGATATTTTCTCCTCCCTGTGGAAATGGAAAGTTGCAACGGGGGAACGACTGTGAAACCAGGTCAGCCGTCATGGAGCACGAAATTTGATCACCAGATTGATCACTGGAACAAACCATTAAATCAGGTTCTTCGACGTTTGGTTCCTCATTTGTCCTTGTGTTATTTGTCACTTCACAAACGATTCTATTATTAAATAATAAAAGAAAAAAACGCATATTATACAATTTATCTGATAAGTTTAATTATTTATACTAAAACCTTAGAAAACCACTTACAATCTCATTTCCAGAACTATTGTTTCCCCATTAAATACAGCAACAATCTCCAATTCTGAATCGTCAATACGATAATGCATACAGTCCAATTGATCCAGAAAAAGAAAATCAACAAACTCAAACATTTCCTGCGAAATATTAAAACAATATAATTCTTTTAAAATACAATACTTTATGGTCTCGTTGTAACATTTTATTTATTTATTTTTTTTTTTTAAGATGATTTAATAAATATTGACCAAAATTAGTGAAAATAAGTTTAATTGCAACATAAGATGAAAAATATAAACACTCAAATCAAAATTAAATACTTACATTAAATATCGATAATAATCCCTTTCCCAAATTCAAATCAAAA